TGGACCCCTCCTCCAAGGGCCACGAAATTCGCCCTCTTCCTCCAAATATACAACCCTTAGGGCACCATTTAGACTTTGGGTTTTGTTTAGATTAAAAGTTTGCCATAGTTGCAACTTCGCGTACTTCGTTTGTGCTCAACGACCAGACCAAGATGTCACATAACCCCACCTTGATCAATAAAGTTTTCATCTTATATTCGCAATATCCAGATTGCAATCTCAGTTTCTTGCTTGTTCTTCGTTTGCTTGCAGGAAATAGACCCTCATGGTCAGGTTGATCATGCTCCGGCGTGGTCAATAACCTCGGAGAGTTGGTTTAGCGATTGCTAAGGCGCGACATCCTCGCATGTTCGTAGTCGGGTCCTCAAAGTCTACTCCACCGAAACGATAATTACTTTCTCATCAAAAGACGGGACACCTTTGCCTCTATCGAAAATGCACATGTTGAGATGGATGGGTGACCACAAGGAGGGATCGGATCTGAATTGGTCTCGGTTTGTGGTTAAAACCGGGACTAAAGGACAACATTTGGTCCCAGTTCCAGCCATAGACCGGGACTAAAGGAGCTAGGCCAGGAGCGAGGCCCACTGGTCCTGGTTCGTGTCTACAAACGGGACCAAAGGGGTCAGACGAACCGGGACCAATGGCCCGCGAGGCCCGGCCGGCGCCCTGGCCTCACGAACCGGGACTGATGCACCCTTTGGTCCCGGTTCGTGAGTGAATCGGGATTAGTGCCCTTATCCTGGCCTCAACCAAAGCCCTGTTTTCTACTAGTGGTGGCCCCATCAGTGTCATGTCCCGTCAGTAAAGGATATCATGCCATCCCTTAGCGGAAAAAACCGACAGCCATCGATGAGGTCACAAGGGATATATATAAATGGGGGATGTCCCATGGTGTATGCTCTTTGCGAATGTTGTGGTGATAGTTAATGATAGTCAGACATGGGTCAATACAAAGTTAGTGCTATGGAGACAAACCTTTGAGTCAAAAGGTTTTAAGCTTAGTAGAACTAAAACCTAGTGCATGAGGTGCGGTTTTGGTACTACTGGGCATGAGGAGGAGGAGGAGGTGAGATTTGATGGGCATGTGGTACCTCAAAAGGACACTTTTCGATATTTTGGGTCAATGCTGCAGAAAGATGGTGATATCGATGAACATGTGAGCCATCGAATCAAAGTCAGATGGATGAAGTGGCATCGAGTTTCTGGGATTCTTTGTGACAAGATAGTGCCACAAAAGCTAACAGGCAGGTTCTATAGGATGACGATTTGACCCACAATGTTGTATGGTGTTGAGTTTTCGCTGACTAAAAGGCGACAGGTTCAACGGTTGGTGTAGCAGAAATGCACATGTTGAGATGGATGGGTGGCCACAAGGAGGGATCAGATCTAAATTGATGATATAGGGGATAGAGTTGGGTAGCACATATTGTAAAGAAGTTTGTCCAACATGTTCTGAGATGTCTTGGGCGTATTCAACGCAGTTCTCCAGAAGCTCTGGTGCATAGTGAACGGCTTAAGCGTGCTGATAATGTCAAGAGAGGTCGGAGCATACCAAACTTCACATGCAAGGAGTCCCTAAAGACAGATTTGAAGGACTGGAATATCACTAAAGAACTCCCCTGGACAGGATTGCGTGGAAGCATGCTATCCATGTGACAGAACATGAGTTGGTCGCGAGATCTGATGGGTTTAGAACTAAAGGCTTTGTTGTTATTGATGATGATGTTTTTGTTGTTGTTGAAAAAATCAAATATTTTGGAATTTTTAATAGCAAACATGATTTAGGCCAACTCCAATGCACAACCCCAAACAAATGTCGGTTTTGTTCGAATTTTATCCGTTTGGATACGGAAATGAGGCGGCGTCCGAAGGTTTTCCTCGATGTGCCGGTCGTGCACCCAATGCGCGGCTGCATCTCGTCCGACTGGAGGCCCTATGACTGTGCAAATAACCCAATATTGCAAATAGTTTTACAAAACAAATAGTTCCACGTCTAAACAAAAGTTTCGCGACAAAATGCATCATGTGGAAATTCTGGCAAAAAAGACAAAATAGCATGTACAAAAAGTGTAAATAGTAACCTTTATATTATATCGTTATCAGTTTATTGTGATACTTTACCGAAAAAGGGTTTCCCCCGCTTTGTATTCCAAAGCAACCAGCCAACATAGATACATCTAAAGCCGGGGCGAGCAGCACAACAAGCCCAAAGACAAAAAAGAAGAAGAAACATAATGCCAACAATGGCAGCTCGACAAAGCGCAGAAGGGCCCGCCACCGCTGCGCCCTCCGGAAACACCCCACCACAGCCCAAGGCTCTGAGTGCCGCATACCAAGCAGCACCTCCAAGAAGGTATGTGACGCCGACGACGCTACTGCCCGGACAAGTTCTAGAGTTTCCCCCGGTATGCGGAGGAAAGTAGGGGATGGCTACCACCGATGCCCTTTAAGAAGGAATGATGGCACCCGCCGGTGTCACGGCATCGGTGCGGGACGAACCGGCAAGGATTTCTCCCGCACACCAAACACCACCGCCCATCCGGAGCCAACAAACCAAATAACCACCCAATGCGCCACTGCGGTTGCGCCGCCGCCCACGCCGTCTCACTACGAGCACCACCACGAGACCGAGAAGACCGGAGAGAAGCGCCACGCGACGAGAGCAGCAGCACCAAGGCCGAGCGGAAGGGAACCACCTCCACCGCCGTCGTGCGAGAAGACGTGCCTCCGGCACTATCGCGGTAGCCGACCGGACATGGTAGCGGGGCATGCCAGGCCACCCCTGGCCCGGCCAGACCCGAAACGGGCCCGCTAAGCCCCGTCGGCCGTGCTGCAGCAAGCTGGCGTCAGAGCCACCAGCCCCCTTCACGCAACGCTGCTCCCCTGCATCCCGGGAATCACGCCGCCAACCAGCCCCGCCGCCAGCCCGCCCAGGTCCAGATGGGCCCCGTAGGGTCTAGATCTGGGCCGAGCGCCGCCCCCAGGACGAGCCACAGCGCCACCCCGCCGCCAACGACGGCGCCGCCGCCCAGCCGCCCGCCCGCTCTGCGACAAGGAACTCCGCCGCCAGCTGGGCCGCCGCCGCCTAGGAGCACCCCCCGGTGCAACTCTGCCCCGCGCCGGAGCCACCAGGAGGGGAAGTGCAGGAGGGCTGCCGCCACCAGCGACCCCAGGGCCAGGCCGACCGCGGGTGCCAGCGACGGCGGCGGGGATGAGGGGGAGAGAGGGGCTGAAGACAGGAGAGAAAGGTGCGCGGCCGGCCGCCCGCGGGGGGCGACGCGGTCGCGAGAGAGAGGAAGGGGGATGGCTTCTACAGAGCCTTGTTCGCAGCCGTTGTAATACTTTGCACACACGCATAACGCTAGATCATGTTTGTTTTCAAAAAAATTCAGAAACATTTGACTTTTCTTTTTCTCAAATCGGTCATGTGCATCCATGTCCACTGTTGTATTTTGGCAGAGGTAACACAATATCAATTTTGAAGGGTCAGCAATCGTGTTTGGTTTTGAAGGTTGGGACAAAAACTAAACGTAGCAAATACTTCAGGTTAAAGACAAAGTATATTGTTTTTCCTTTTGCGGGTTCAAAGTATATATAGCTTTTATAGAAGCTCTTGCTTGGATCTGCCTAAAATGAAATTGACGCGATATACAGTGACAGGTTTAGCTACCTAAACAAGGGTGAGCCACGTTGCCTTGATTGGAGACAGCAACGCCAATTTTTTAAATCGGAACGTGATTCGGATGTTCGAACCAAAACGACCCACGCTTGGTTATCACGTTTATTATGGGCTACAAAGATCCCAGAGCATACGTGGCGCTGACGAGCGAATTCGGATATCAACAAAGATGGTCAATGTGGCGGACCAACCTATAATTAGATGGCTAAAGAGACCGTGATATCTCAAGTTCCTTAGAATTCAAATCATGAAACTTGCATTTATTTTTGAATTTATTTCAGAATTTTCGGCGATGCGCATTCAGTGGGAGGATACGTTTCAGTCGACTACTGTGTACGTTTCAAAGTGATATGCTGGCTCAGTCTTTCGAATGCGCTCGTATAGATAGGGTGTGCGTGTGTGCGTTTATATGGATGAGTATATACGCGTGTACATGAGTGCTTGCGTCTGTACCGTGTTAAAAAAAATCAACGTAACGAGTTTCTCACCCACGGTCCACATGAATACCAACACGGTACAAAACCAGCAACAGTGGAAGGCGCCACCAGGAAGAAGAAAAGAGTGATGAAACGAGAGAGGAAGGGAGGATGTGTGGAAAACACGAGGAATTGTTACTGGGAGGGAGGGAAACGGTTTCTCACCGTGGCAAAAAAAATGAGCGCCACAGAAACGAGGGGCGTGGACCTACCCTAAATGGAAGAAAGTGCGTTTCCGGACAAGCGGAGCGCGGAATAATAAATGCCGCTGCTACCGCTAGGACGAGACGAGTCGAGCCCCAGCCCCAGCCCCAGCCTTGGGAAAAGCGGCAAGCAACGGCCAAACAAGAAAGGCGACGTCGCCTGCACCCGCACAGCACAGCACGCGCACGCACGCGGCCGAAGCACCCGCCTCCTCCTCCTCCTCTCGGCCTCTCTCTGCGCCCTCTGTCTCTCCCTCTCCCCGAAGCTCGCTCGCTCGCGGTCGCGGACACAGAAAGCGAGGGGCGAGGGGGGGTTGGGAGATCAGGAGGCTTTTGTTTGGTCGAGAGACCGCAAACTCCACCAAGGCCCAATCACCGAGCCTCTTCCTTCTTTAAGCGCGCCCCCCTCCCCTCCCCTCCCGCGGTGGAGGCCGAATCATCTCCTCTCTGCCTCCCTCGACCCACTTCGGCATCTGCCGGCCCCGGATCGATACCGCCGCCACCGCATAAATACCGCCTCCCCTGCCACTGCCACTCCCCCTCTCTTCTCTTCTCTTCTCCTCCGCTCCTCCCGTGGGTTTGCCTGACAACGGTGGGCGGAATCTTGGTCGGCTGAGAGAGAGAGAGAGAGAGAGGGAGATGATGAAGCAGGAGTCGTGGATGGAGGTGCTGCCGGTGCCGCCGGCGCCCTACTTCGCCGGCCAAGCGGGCGGCTGGTTCCTGCAGGACCAGCGGGGCACCGGCGGCGTCGGCGGCGGGGCGTGGTCGCCGGCGGAGAACAAGCAGTTCGAGGAGGCGCTCGCGCGGGTCGACGGGGACGCGCCGGACCGGTGGGAGCGGGTGGCGGCGCTGCTGCCCGGCAAGACGGTGGCCGACGTCATGCGGCAGTACGACGACCTCGAGAACGACGTCTGCTTCATCGAGGCCGGCCTCGTCCCCTTCCCCCACTACAACGCCAACGCCCCGGCCTCCGGGTTCACCCTCGACTGGGACGGCGGCGGCGACCTGGCGTTCAAGCGCTCCTGCTACATGGCGGCGGGCGGCAACGGCAAGCGCGGGCGCGGCGCGGACCAGGAGCGCAAGAAGGGCGTGCCCTGGACGGAGGAGGAGCACAAGTAAGCCCTGAATCTCGATTGCCTAACCCACACCCACACATGTACACCACACAGCCTTGAATCTCGTTCTGTTCACCGCAGGCTCTTCTTGATGGGCCTGAAGAAGTACGGGCGCGGGGACTGGCGGAACATCTCGCGCAACTACGTGACGAGCCGGACGCCGACGCAGGTGGCCAGCCACGCGCAGAAGTACTTCATCCGGCTCAACTCCGGCGGCAAGGACAAGCGCCGCTCCAGCATCCACGACATCACCACCGTCAACATTCCCGACGACGACCACGCCAGCAACACCAACCCCTCGCCCTCGCCGCCCTCCGCGCTCACCGCCACCTCCTCCGCCCCGGAGCAGTTCGGCGCGCTCGCCGACAGCAAGCCGCCGCCGCCTCTGGGCGGGCACCACCACTTCATGCCGGCCCACCTCTACGGCAGCGTGAAGCTGGAGGCCAGCAATAACGGCTACCACGGCGACTCTGCTCTGATGCAGATGCATCAATGCGGCCAGCTCCAGCCTCTGGGTTGACCACTGTTCCTTGGAGCAGCCGCAGCCCAGCCGCCGTCGGAGAAAGCTGCGTCGTCCTCGGGCGTGCACGAGGAAGGAGAGCCACCCAGCGTCGCACGTGCTCTTGGTCCCAGCCAGCCAGCAGAGATCATCCACGCAGGAGCACACTGGACGGACGGACGGACGGACGGACGGAGAGGGAGCATGAGAGCAGGATGGAGACGGCATTTCTTCCGCGTTTGGCCTCCGTGTACATAACACCACGACCACGGTGAAATAATTAGCAATATTCCTCTCTATTATTTGCTACTCCCGAGCCATGGGAAGCACACTAGCACAGGAGTACTGTAGTGCCGAGTTTTTCTTTTTTTATTTACTCTACTTTTGATGTATTTGGTCCGTTATTAGTGTCATGCATGCAGTAGAGTACGTATTTGGGTAGCAGCAGCATACCGTATGGTGTTGATCTTTCGATTTGGGTGTGTTAGCATTGGTCACCCTCTCATTGACCCCTGCTATATCAATTAACAATGATGAACTCGATGCCGATTATGATTATGATTACCGTGGTTTTCTTGTGCTGTTCCCTGTCGTTTTTGAGGGAGCGAGGCCTGAGGCGGATCAATATCGTACTACGACTCTCCATGTTTATTGGCTCCTCTCCGGCTGGAAATTTCAAGTTGGAAGCATTCCATCGTGCGTGCTAGTAGTAGCACTACACAAAATGGGAGTTTGTTTAAGACTTGGTCGTGTCAGAGATCGGGACTAAACAACGCCCGTGCTCGGCCCTCGACAAGTGATTCCTCCTCTCCTCGGCCAATCGGAGGAGGAGAAGGGCTCGTTGCCGCCGGTTTAGCTTGGCGGAGACGGAGGTTGCGACCGATGCTGACGGTGGTGTGGCTGGCGCGCGGTGCGTGAGCCACCCAACCCAAAGGGGGCCAGGAGCAGCAGCAGGGCGCAACAGAGCGGAGATCGCCTCGTCCTCCTCCGTGCCGGAAGTCCACGGAGACGCACCGATCATCGCAAGGAACGCAAAAAGTTGCTCGGAATCCGGATCGGATCCATTTCGTTTTCGCACAGGAGCAGACATTCCCGCGGATCCACTTGGAAAGGCCTGCCGGTGGCGCACGCACGCCCTTCCGGCGCTTCATTTCAGTGGCCGCGGCATCTCCTCGTCATCGGCGATGCACAAGAGCAAGAATGTTCTCACCCGACCAAGCTCTCCTGTCTACGTTTCTTCTTCTTTTCCGCGGAATGTGTACGTCTCTTCTTCTCCGTGGAGTAGGAGTCGGCGTCGATAACATTCGGGCATGGTGAGACACGGTTTTTTCTTTCGAAAAGGAGGTTGGAACCCCGGCATCTGCATCAACTTATGCACATGGCCATACATATTAGAGATTTACCAGTAACGAGCCCTGACATCTACATCAACTTATGCGACCTGGCGGTCAAGCGCTCCTGCTACATGATGGGCAGCAACGGCAGACGCGCTCGTACCAAGAGCACAAGAAAAGCATGCCCTGGACGAAGGAGGAGCACAAGTAAGCCCCCGCTTCATCGAAAAGAAGGTTGACACCTCGGCATCTACATCAACTTTTGTTGTAGACATCCATACATACATATAAGAGATTTACCAGAGACGGGGCCAGGGGGCCAATGCCCCCCTCCCCCTCCCTGAGGTAAACTGTGCAAAGATACCCTTCTAATTCCTGGAAAAATTGCCCCCTTCATGGTTCCTGGCTTCGTCACTAAGATTTACAAGCAATGTTGACTTCTAATGTGGGATTAGTTGCTTGTTTCATTGGTTTTGTTGCTTCTGACTCGGCTCTAGCAAATATAATATGCCACTCCCGTCGCATCAGCCATTATTAGTATTTAGCCCCTCTCTACTTCTAATGGTCGTCCGATGTCTTCTTTCTACGGGAGCCGGTTTTATGTAGCTCGCATACCACAAAACTAATGAGCGGGGCGTGTTAGTGACGGGGCTCCGTGGAGCCCTTTATTTTTGAACAATGCAATATTCAAACTTCCTTGTTTAGAAAAAGTCTGGAAAATATATGCAAATATACAATTATGAAATGTATATGTGCTTAAAAGTTCAGGATGAAATATCTTGAAATGTGATATGTACAAAAAAAACAAATTCATGGGCTTTGAGGGTGAATAGTACCATGTGCTGAAAAGCCCCAGATTTGTTTTTCCTTTTGCACAGCCCTCATTTCAGCGTATTCCGTCTTGAAAATCCACACGCATTTACACCATGCCTCCATGTGTATCTGTAATTTTTGCAGAATTTTTCGAAACGTGAAAATATGAATATATCTGGCCCTATACTACACCGTCACTGTCGCGATGCTCATTACAGCACCACCACCGTGGCACGGTACAGTGCAGCCTAGCTAGCTAGGTATAGCGAGCATCGGCTCCGGCCCATGGAATCACTCTAGTAGGACAGTTGCCACACAAGAGTGCAACTTGCAGCGCAAGTGGGCGGCGGGAAGATGCATGCAATCCGACGCAAGCAAGGTGGGCGCGGCCTTTGCTTTGCTTTGGCTTTGCCCGCCTCCTCCCCCCTTTTCCTCTGTCCCTGGGGAGCATACAATACGGCGGAGCACCGGAGTGGCGGTGAGTGTGCTCGGCGTTGCCGGGCCGCCATTGGCCGGAGCTGGCGTCCGTGGCCGCATCGACAGTTCCACGCCCGGCCGCTTTCGCCTTTCCGGAAGGAAGGTCGAGGGGGAGGGGCCGGCCGCATCGTGTGTCGGCGTCCCTCTCCGGGGGCCCCTTTTGCGCGCACCGGTATTCCGATTCCTGGGGCGCGCGCTGCAACTGGGCGTATGATTGAGCCGCCGGGGGGCTACCGGACTGGAGGCGGAGAGGGCCGCTGCGTCTGCGTGCCTGCGCCCGGCGATTCGAGATTCCGTCCTCCTTTCCCGCGCCCGGACCACCCGCACCCACGGAGAGAGATTTGCTGCCCCCGATTCTGCGAAAGCAGCGAAAAGATGCACCGGCGGCGATCAGAATTCCAACCGGTTCCTTTGAAAAAATTACTCCCTCCGTTCACTTTTATAAGTCGTTTCAGACAAGTGAAATTGTGCTGTTTTGCACACTGTCTGAAACGTCTACAAAGCCTTATAAAAATGAACAGAGGAAGTACTAGATTAGATAAAATTAAACACACGAGTTAGCAGCATATTAAGACTCCGCGTCAGCGTGCACCACTCACTGCACACAAGTACACTCAGGATCACTGGGATCCGTTGGTTCGGGGCCACTTATCAGCCGGCGTTACCAAAATTCGACGAGCATGTTCATTTATGCACTACTAGGAGTGGTAGTAGTAGCTTGTTCGTCTGCTTAAAGAAGCTGCGGCAATGCTTTTGGCGCACAATCGCTGATCTTTTGGCCGGTCTACTTCAGCTGGGCACGCTCTCGCGTATAAAAAAGGGTGGGGGTGGCCACTCGCTCCGTTTTCCAAAGTGAAGGGAAAGGCGCGAGCATCCATCGCTAGATTCGGTAGAAAGAGCCTACTGGTAGGAGGAGGATGATCATCGGCCCTAAGTTAAGTAGGTCGAGCTAACCCCGCACTCGGAGCGCGCGCGCGAGCGAGCGAAAGCTCAGAGGGTGCTTGGATACGTTTTAGTCCCATGACTAAAAGTAGTGGGACTAAAACTTGCTAGCCTCACCCATGCTTGGATACAAATACTAAATAGACTAAAATCGAGTTAATGAGCATTTATTATTCTCCAAACCCTCCAATCCAGAACTCGCATGTGTTAAAGGAGATGAGTTAAATGAGGAGAGAGAGGACTAATCCATATTTTAGTAGGGTTCTCATGACTAAATTTTTTTAGTCTCAAGACTAGTTCTAATCTCTCTTTAGTCAGGGGTGATTGGAACTTTAGCCCCTAAAAGAGACTAGTTTTAGTCAGACTAAAAATAGTCTCTTGAATCCAAGCATGCCCTCAGTATGGTTTCTGGCGTACTAATTGGCACTTGACCACATCGATGCCAAGGGCAGTAAACAAATGCGCTCCCGAACCGACCACCGTAGGCAACGGTGGTGGCAGACGGAATTGTTGGCGAACGTAATGACCGGGCGCGGCAGGTGCAGTTTCCCGGCAGGGGGCCGAGAGTAGTTTAACCCCCACCAGACATCACAAATCCTGGATGCTCTCGTGCGTGCAGCCATGGCAGCAGGAGACCCACGAGAAATGGCTTGAATTGGGCGATGCTAGTTTTGCTCAGTGCATGCAAGAGCAACTCTAACGCGCGTTTTTTCCTTTTCTTTTTTGTCGGTTTAGATCGGCGGTCCAACACGCCGATCCATATGTGCCGGTTTGACCGGCTCGCCATCCTTTTTCCAATAAATACCTCATTTTTTGCATTGTCTTCACATACAACTTTTTTATTCATACATATAGTCCAGAACCAAATAAATAACATAGTTTCAACGGAATAAAATAACACAGTTTTACAAGCCGAATAAAAGAAAAAATGTCTCACATAGTTTTGCAAGTCGAATAAAAAAGATATATCTATTGATTGCCAACATAAGCCCACATATGCTCAACCAAATTATTTTATGGTCGCATATGGGTTTTCTAATCACGCATGTCACGATGAAATTGAATGAGCTGTTCAAACGTTGCCGTTCCTTCATGCTCAGGCACAACATTCTCATCCTGAAACTGAAACACTTGATCGTACAAACGTTTCGGGCGCTCATCTTCTACAATCATATTGTGCATGATCACACAAGCAGTCATCACCTCCGATAGTTTCTGCGTGCTCCAAGTATTACCAGGATACCGAACGATGCCCCATCGAGATTGCAAAACACCAAAGGCACGCTCGACGTCCTTCCTAGCACTCTCTTGCTTTTGTGTAAATCTTTTCCTCGTCTCTCCGACAGGGTTGGGGATTGTCTTCACAATAGTGGTCCACTGAGGATAGATACTGTCATCCAGGTAGTACCCTTTGTCGTAGTTGTGGCCGTTGGTAGTAAAGTTCACCGGTGGGCT